TAAGGGTATGTTTTAATTGTGAATTGTGAAGTGATCTAAGAGGTGTACTGATTCAATATGATCAAATTTAGTTTTTATCATGTACAGAGTATAAGAGGAGAAAAGAGATGGATGGGTGGGTGGGTGGTTAAACACGAAAAAAAAAAGACAAATCCAACAGATCATAAGTATTTCAGATTTCATCTCAGCATCTTTTTCTCCTTCGTGAATCGATGAAATACAAACATTCACACAGAGGACAAATTGTCAAAAATGATAATCACTTTTCGGTCTCTAAATCCAACTTTCTTTTTCTTTTTCTTCTTATCTCCCTCCTCCTCCTCTCCCTCAGGCTGTTCGACCACCTGTGGTTGTTCTCCCTCCACCTCTTTAGCCTTACTTGATATCTTGGAGTCAACCCAATCTTTTACTTCGTCAGGTCTTAAATGAAAACATATTCCAATGCATCAATATATGCAGGACCATCAAAGTGGACGTGCAACAAGTAGTGCTAAAATTATACTTGTAAATTTAGAATACTTACTAGAAAAAAGCCTTAAATTTTTCCTATTTTATCCCGGGCAAGGCTACATTCAACTGCTATAATAAATAATAATAATAATAATAATAATAATAATAATAATAATAATAATAATAATAAACAAGAATAACAACTCACCCATTGAAAAACATATAATATATAACTGCACATCCTAGAGAAAAAAGACATATAATCTGTGTCTTGCTATCTCTTCGTCTTTGGTGTCCAAAGTTTGAATACAAGACCTTTGGATCGGTAGGTTTGCGTTTCCTTTTCAAAGAGTTGCTTGCCTGTAGTGATGCCCTTTTCTCCATGGCAGCCAGTTCCTTAGCGATAGCCTGCTGTGTCTCTTTTGAACTGAGGCGTCTGGCATTAGGCAGTAGCACACAGGTCCTGGAGACTCTGCAGAGCACAATGGCTGCCGAAGAAGTGCGGAGGAATAACATGGTTGTTTTTTACCTAAATCACAAATAAAATAATGTTAAAGCAATGAATATTCATTTTCATAGACTAATTAATTACATCAATGATGTATACCCACATATACTTTCTTGAAGGTATGTGTAGTTCACTCGGTTTGTCTTGAGCTATTTAATTATAACAATATTTACCTGTACTGTGCTAAACAAAATAATGCACAGTGCTTGTTATTGCACTAATAAACATAAAGTAAAAATCCTCAATAATCTCCACTAATAATTATACTACCACAATAACAGGAACGCCAGTTGCATATTCTGATAACTGCTTCAAAGTGCAATCATAGGTAATGATATGTAACACCTATGTTAAAAAGATATTTATAACATAGGTAATGATATGTAACACCTATGTTAAAAAGATGTTTATACAACACTCGATTTTAGCCATAAAAGAAAAAAAGTTGTAGTTTAAATAGTATTTTAAATATTTTATCTGTTTAGTCAAATTTGAAGTAAATCTGTAAACTCATGTACCGTATGGGGATAACACGAGTTGAGTAGCATGCGCTAGCCCCTCACAAAGGAGGTATACAAAATATATAATGTTATAACTGTATTAAACTGGATAGTGGCAAATGCATTTATTTAGTTTATGACGCGTAAGAGTTGACTATACTTTGCCATATTATGAAATGAGAGAAAGTCGAGTGTTTAGTCTTAGACACTGGACTGCCTACTACCTGCTGCGCATGCAGCAGTAATAATGCTTTAATGTTCTCAATAAATGTTAGGACTTCAATAACATTAATTTCACTTCTTCCATCTAACAGCTGAGTTGTTCTTACCAGAGAGTGCTGATTTTAATCAGTCATTGATGTAGACAAGATCGTGGAAGAAAATACTTTTTGTTGATATTATTTTGTCAGGGGTAATCCTAGAGAGGGGTGAGAAACGTCCATTGTTCTCGTCAGCGAGGCTGGCTTTTTTCAGGGTATGTACGCACAGACAGAAAACTAGGTATTGTGGGAACGTTACTAATGAAGCCACTGGTAGTACTAGTAGATATCAGCCTGTAGTCTTGAACAAGCGCCTCGATGACGAGTGAACAGTTGTCAAAAACAAAAGACCCAGGTGTGGTAGTTCAACTACTGTTCATGCGTGCCACAACGACCAAACCTAATTGCTCCTCAAGGTCACAAAACAATATCCGGTACTGGCGGCCAGGCTCGTCTTAATCATATAAGTAGCGCGTTTCCACCCCCTGATTTTGTCCACCTTACCACCATGTTGGTTATCGCGAGATTTGTTACTTGCGTTCGCGAGACTTCCGGGAACTCCAAGGCAAGTCAGAACTTGTCCAATCAAACCAATCAAAACAAAGGCTATAAATAGTTCCCGCCATTTTAAGTGATTTGGCGCGAAGAAGCCGTCTCCCGCGGAATTTTAGAGTACCTTTGTCATCGGAGCCATCTCGAGATACTGCAAGACGTTAAATTAAGATTTTCGACTTAAAGCAGTTTGCGAAACTCCGATTATCTTATAAAAGTTTTTATTTGTTAGTGATATCAACAGAACAAGATGTTTGAGGCAAGATTAGTACAAGGTTCTTTGCTGAAGAAGGTTTTGGAGGCAGTCAAAGATTTGTTGACTGATGGCTCCTTTGAATGCAGCGATAATGGCATTAGCCTACAAGCTATGGACAGTTCTCACGTTAGTCTTGTGTCTTTACTCCTCAGGAGTGAAGGGTTCGACACTTTCAGATGTGACAGGAATATGTCACTGGGAATCAACCTAGCAAGGTACTGTGAATTCCTTAATTCGAGACTGATTGTTTGACATTTGTGTAAACGACATTATTGGCGGGGTTTGAAATAACTAGGAAGTATCAGATACCTCCTAAAGTGTACATTTGTCCAACTTAACCAAAGTCAAAAATCATATGATTCCTGCATTTTCTGATTTCTAGTACCAGAATTAGACATCATTTGCAAATGCACATATACAGTTCTTTGTTCTTTTCCCTTTGAAGTGAAATTTCATGAATAATGTGAAACTTGAAAGACTGCTCAAATATTAAAAGTTTATATCATATAACAGTGACAGGGTTCCCTGTATATTTCAGTTAACTGCTAGACATCTTATTTGGCTTATGAAGATCAATGTACTAGTAAATAATTTTTCTGCGTTTCTGCCAAGTCCATCATCAGTTAATGTTGAGTTTTGATTTTGCTAAATAAGCCTGTTATTTTATTAGCAACTTTATTGAAGAGTGAACATTAAATGCCTTTATTTCTGATGTCAGCAGTGAAACATATTTATCAACATGCCCTAAATACAAAGTTCAGATAATGGCTGCTTGATAGAGAGGCCATTGTGTTTTGCAATGCATTGTCTATCCCACGCTCGGCTGTCACCTTGATTGGATAGTAAACGGTTGACGTAAAATCGCTAAAAGATATTAAAACCCGGTGCATAAACTTGAAAACCACCTAGGACAACCTCAGACTGCCACATTAATCCAATACAATGCAAAAATAAACTATAACAAGTGGTTAAAGCCTTCAAACCGAATGTCGTAAAGTCCCCATATACCTCCATAGAGACAATAAAATAGAAGAAGCTTGTGAAACAAGAAAAATCCAGTTCCAACATAATAATCGAAATAAAATACTGCCGGGCATCGGAGCGGCCTAAAACTTGGCACGCTTACCGCTAATACTGCAGGCTACATCATCCCGTCGCTCGTTTGTAAATTCCGTGCATGGCATACGCACAATCAAACCGTATATCCAAATTCCACCTCTGATGTTTGAATTGGTCCTCTCTAACCTACCATTACGAAAAAGAAGCCATGCCATTGGACAATGCGGCCTCTGCGGTTACGTGGATTGTAGAGAGGACCAATTCAAACATCAGAGGTGGAATTTGGATATACGGTTTGATTGTGCGTATGCCATGCACGGAATTTACAAACGAGCGACGGGATGATGTAGCCTGCAGTATTAGCGGTAAGCGTGCCAAGTTTTAGGCCGCTCCGATGCCCGGCAGTATTTTATTTCGATTATTATGTTGGAACTGGATTTTTCTTGTTTCACAAGCTTCTTCTATTTTATTGTCTCTATGGAGGTATATGGGGACTTTACGACATTCGGTTTGAAGGCTTTAACCACTTGTTATAGTTTATTTTTGCATTGTATTGGATTAATGTGGCAGTCTGAGGTTGTCCTAGGTGGTTTTCAAGTTTATGCACCGGGTTTTAATATCTTTTAGCGATTTTACGACAACCGTTTACTATCCAATCAAGGTGACAGCCGAGCGTGGTCTATCCAGTAAAAATACTCAAAATATATAGTCAGCTGGTGTAAAGAGAAGAAAGAAAAAGAGAAATGCACAATTTATTTGTCAATATATATATTCAAAAATAATCTCAGACGTTTTGAATTCTTACTTTTTCAGCATGGCCAAGATTCTCAAGTGTGCAGGCAATGACGATGTAGTCACCATCAAAGCTGTTGACAATCCAGACACAGTCACATACATGTTTGAATCCCCAAGTATGTTGTTACAAATGTAGTAGGCATGGTTTTTCAAACTGGCTCACTTTTCTTTCTTTCTTTGAACTGTCCATTCATCTCTCCATGTTGGATAGATATATTTGCTTTAATACTTTGATGCATATTTTAGTTAATATATCAACAATTTGAAAAACATTGAACTTAGACAGATTGAAATTCCACGGCATTTCAAATGTCAATTTGATGGGAAGGCCAGGGCAATTAAATGATGAACTTTTCTGTTCCAGACCAAGACAAAGTGTCTGACTATGAAATGAAACTGGTAGACTTGGATGGAGACCACCTGGGAATTCCAGTAAGTAAACTTTATTTTGTTCAGTAGCCCATTTTCCAAATGTTTAGGTGCTTTTGAGATTAACTTACACTCTTAAAATATGACAAGTTTAATGAAATTTAATATTACTTTATGCAGAAATGTTTTGTGCATTTCTTGGTGTATTGTACTTCTCTTTGAATTGTATCTGTTTGACTAATTGAGGAAAATTGGTTCTAGGAAACAGACTACAGTTGTGTGATCAAGCTCCCCTCGGCAGAATTCCAGCGTATATGCCGCGACCTTAGCCAAATCAGCGAGTCTGTAGTGATCTGCTGCACCAAGGAAGGAGTGAGATTCTCAGCGTCAGGAGATATGGGCACAGGTAATATGAATATATACACAGTAATGAAAATTATAATAGTTTCATTGTTTTGCAGAACGAGGTTAGTAAATTTAGCATCACAAGATGCTAAGTCATGAGCACAGAATTTATATTACATAGTCATGGTAATTTTATACCATTTTCCACCTGAGCTTTTGTTATCATCCTGTAACAATAGATGTTTTTGTTCTGTGTAAGTTTGTGATTTGGGTGAGGTATAACTAAAACTTGTTCTTAGTTAAAGATAAGTATTACCAAATACATAATTGATGAATTTCATTATTATTATTATTTTTTTTGTGTGAGAAACGTACATTTTACCATCTTGGTCTGTATGACTGGAGATGTTAAAAAATCCATTTTTATTTGAAGGTAACATAAAATTGGTGCAGAATTCCAATGTTGACAAGGAAGAGGAAGCTGTGACAATTGAGATGCAGGAGCCAGTTACCTTGACCTTTGCTCTTCGTTACCTGAACTTTTTCACAAAGGCCACGCCTCTTTCCAATCAAGTGACCCTGTCAATGTCTCCAGAGATTCCATTAGGCAAGTTGATTTGAAATGGCAGATCTATGGGCTGGGCAGTGGGTACCTGTCCTTATACAGCACACACAATATTTCTTTTTAATGAAGTGTAACTGATAAATCTGTCAAAATAGACCAAATTTTATGTTGAAAGCTAAGAATAATTTGAGTTCTTAAAGGTTCCACTCTAAAATAAATAAATTGTAGCAAGATGCTTAAAATGTTTATAAAAATGTGAACAGTTAAACTGTTAATTAATTTTTTTGACCAAATAGATCATTTTTCAATCAGTTCGCTTGTAGGGCCTTTATGTTGAGAAAGGGGTCAACATTGGTGACGTTTTTTTGTTCTGATTTCAGTGGTGGAATACAAGATTGCTGATATGGGCCATGTCCGCTATTACTTGGCACCAAAGATTGAAGATCAAGAAGAAAGTTAAAGCCTTCCAGAAAGAAAGGAAGACTTGATGACTCACCAGTGTAATAATTTTATTACAGTCTGTAACAGTCTGTCTGACTGAAAGGATTTATATTGTGAATGCAGTATATTATATAACATAATACCCTTGAATGAGGACGTCATTTTATGTGTAATTTCTGGTGTCATCCGATGTTGTCTTAGATGTAAATTTTTGTACAGTGTAGAATTTAATCATTTCATAACTGAAGCAACAATTTTTCCAAGAAGCTGGACTTGTTTGGATGATCTTACTGGGCAGTTTGTGGGATACATTATGGACAGTGAATACTTGGAATTGAGTTGCAAATATACATTTATATATACTCATATTTAAATAGTTTTCTATGTGAATTATTTGTCGTTATATATCTGGTGAGCTTCACTAGAATTCATGAATGTAGATTTTTGTTTCTATCCAAAAAAAACGACTAATATATGAGGTATGAACGGGAGGTGAGGGGAGTTGAAGGCACTGGGGTTGGAATCCTTTAAAATGATGAGCCGAGTAATTAGACCTGTTTAGACCAACTACAATAATTTCATTTGCCCATCGTTGGATTGTTGCATTAATTGCACAACTAAAAATACGTCTGTTTCATGCCTTTTAATTCATATCCAAAAATTTCCAATTTGTATAGAAATTGAATATTCTAATAGCTACCATGTCAAGATTGTAAAGTTTCTGATTGACACTTGCTCAGCTGTCATCCAATGTGAGTTTCACAGGACAGATTTCTTTTCACAGTGTCCATACAGACATTTGCTTGTACAAAAAATAATGTGCTTGTTTTTCCAAAGAATTAGTCCAAAAGTTCGTTTTAGCTTGAAGGAAAAAAAGATATAAGATGGTTTTAAAAGACAAACGGCACATAATTAAGGCCAATAGTTACTTCTAGTGGACTACTTCGCATTTATCTAGAATTGAAAAAGACCAAAACTTGTACTCTAAAAGTCGAGACAAAATTTTGGTCTAGAGTTCTGTGGTGAAGCTTGCACCATGGTCCTTTGAAGGGGAAACTCGTCTTTGCTTCCTGACCAACCGTGAGGCCTCCAACGTCCTAAGTGTCCGTTTTCTACCAACACGAAGTGTGCAGTGTTTGTCACTGCAATGGCTCACAATCCTGTTATCCTCGGATCTCAATCGACAAAATTAGCTACATTTGAATCAACTTGTGTGTTGACAGATATGAGCTCTTGATATTTACAAATCGAGCCTGAGACGGCCTTTTAAAAAAGTGCACAGCACTTGGGTATAGAAGCCGAGAACAGAAATTTTTGAACCTTTGATTTAAAAAATAAAATTCTCCCTGACTGTGACATGTTTCTGGCGTTACAAATCTAAATGTTTATAACCCAAAATAGGGATTGACTCGCTTGCGGTGACAGTTATCAGTTCCTGGAACGTCAAAGGTGTACTGACTGCCTCGCTGAGTAATACTACCGTAGAAACCTCTGTCGCCTGCCTTCATACAGGAAACCCTCGAATGGGTTTTTGACCCAACACATCTGAAAGAAAAATAGAATGCATTAGCTGCGAAAACGCAATTGCTTTGGACAACTGATTGTGATATGTATTATCAAAGTACCAGAAGGCAAAGAGCCCCGTGCCTGGATCTCTTAAACAACCCATCTTATGCCGCCAATGTATGAGTGATTGCAATAAAGTATAGCGTGTTTTTGACTAAAAATCGAAGGAGTACATATAACTTGTTAACCATTTTCTGTGATCAAAACCAAACAAGATAAAAAATATCAAAATATTTAAACCTGCAGTAATCGTCTCTCCCATCGTCGTCCATGTCCCTCATAAACCAGGTATCCCTCCAACCGACGTTGAACCCTTTCTCCGAGACGTAGAAATGTCTTTCACTGTGGGTGCCCGCCAGTGCGCATGACAGAAAACTGGAGCGGCCACGCCCGATGACTCTGAAAAAGAAAAAAAAGGCAGTTCAGTTTTATTTGTTTTCACTTATGAGAAGTTAATCCCAAACCAAATTCGATGTCGGACATAATTTTTGTTTAACGGGAAATATTTGTTTAGTATGATTATAAAGCAAAGAGTGCTCTCTGACCACAGCGTGTGTTAGTAGTCTGTTACATGTACAAATATGTTGAAAACCAGGGTGACTTTGTAAAGTATTTGGGGGGGGGGGGGGGGGGGCATGATATCAGAGGGTAGGCTAAGAGTACCGTTATATATACACGACGCTGTCATGTTTTTGAGTAAGTTTTATGGCTAGAACATTTTATAGTTTTTAGAGTAGCTTTTTCCCTTCGTAACAATTTTGCCGCTTCTTAATTGATTTCAGTCTCTTCTTTTTTTAAAAAAAAAATTTTGTACTAAAAAGGGTAATGAAATAAGCAGTTATAATTCATTGGGCACATCACAGAGAAAGATGTGGAAATATTTTCATCAGTGCATCATTAAAGCAGTGTTAGCTATTTTCATATATCAAAGTACTAGTTTCACCCCTGTATACCTGCAGTAGTCGTTGGCCGCTCCTTGACCCTGTACATCCACCCAGCCACTAAAGTAGTACGGTTCTCCATATTCCTTGATATCGTAGCGGCGCGGGGAGATGCCGTTCTTTTTGTCGAGAGTATTATGCGGTCTGGGATCGTGTGTATCGTGAGTAAGGTGGTTGTGCCCTTGCGACGTTGCCGTCAAGGGGTCGTCACGGCTGGTTATCGTCTGCTCTTCTTTCTTTTCGCTCTCGGCTGGGGAAGAGATTAAATATCGGTGTAAATAATGTCTGTTACTTTTATCATTTTGATTTTTTCTCTCTTTCTCCTAAAGAAGTAAGCAAGATAGTCACATTGCATTGAGAACACCATTTTCCCAGCCATCTAGGAGAGACATAGGCCTACATCAGAACATTGTGAAATTATTATTAACTTCTAGAAAGGGGCTAGATCTACAGCATCTTTACTCCAGATTAGTTGTTATATACTCTCGCCGACCTTACGCCTTGTTGAACAACTCCAAGTTCACTCAGCCGTGTATGAAATGAAGACAATCAATTCAAATTTTACCTAATGTTTAAAAACAATCGCGATTTGATGCAATGTTTCGTAATTTTTTAGCAGCAGCTGGGATAAAGTTCCAGACGCTTTGTTCAAAGAACGTACACACGCGTAGAGAGTACCGGTGCATGTTATCGACGTGAACACCAGCGCTGAATCTGGCTGCAATACAATTAAAGTTTTTATTAGATTAGTATCGCTTGGGTATTACTAATCACAATACAATAGGTTGGGAAATGTTTTGCTGGTTTACACTGATTTCTCTCGTCTCTGGTGTCAAATTTGTCGAGCTGCTGCAGACGATGTGTTGTAGTACGTTAGTTGCATTACCACCTGAGTGCATGTGATAAAGGGGTAGTATTACCTGGGAACTGTTTTAAACAATCTGAATTTACAGGCTTTAGCGGAGACTATAGTTAACTAGACGTGGACAGCCGACTACGTTTTAATTCGGCTTTGCCATATTGTTCTGTAAGAGTTTTGCTAAAAATTGGCGCACAAAAAATGAAGTTGAAGTACTAATTGAAGTATTGTTACTACCGTCAGTAAAAAATCAATGTCAGAACAGTCAAAATTAGCCCTCGTGGCGAAAGTAAAACATCGAAAATGGAGGTAGGATGGCCTTCAATTTTTTTTCAACTTAGTCGGCTATGATCAGAGAAGCCTCGGCTAAGACCAATTTTCGGTTGGCGAAACATTCGACCAGGCATGTAAATTAATTTTTTTAATTTCACGTCCCATCAGCACCCTGTAATTGTGTGAGTATGGTCCTATGGCCCCACTCAGAATAGGGGACTAACTAGTCTCAGGGTCAAATATGGCTGACCCACTTGAATACTTCCCCACGGAATGTCTATTCATGTCTATTTGCGGATTAGACAGCAAGCTTTGTAGTGGGTCGCCATACAGTCAATCCCCTATTCTGAATGGAGCCTATGAGGCCAAATACACGTGGTGGTTCACACGTGAAAAGCAAAGAAGTCTCTGCAAAGGTAAACTTTTAATCAAGACTAGACGATGGGTCACTGGACTTGATATCAGGAAAATCAGAAACCAGACTAAGTTTATTTGTCTACGGAAAATGTTTTCCTTCTGCACGCTGACCTCTGGCGATTGTATGACTACTGGACCTTCGCCTAACACCCCATTTCCATAGATTTTTAGATCGATCTATCCCTGTGGGGAGTCTCACTAGATTACTGTCAGCTTGGCCGGCTTAAGCGTCTGTCCCGCCTACTAAAAGCTGTAAGGGGGTAATTAACTATGGTGTCCGCTCGGCTGACTGCAATTTAGCCTGAACCCCCAGGGAGTTAGGTCGATCTAAAACTTAATCTTTAGATCGATCTAAATCTCTGGGAAAGCACCCTAAGAGATTGGACACAGCACAAAGACTTTCTGGTCAAGATTTGTGGCGGGGGCGAGGCTTAGCAAGTTTCTCTCTGATTGAAATACCCAATAGGTAGTTAAACTTTTCTTTTTCTTGCGCATTACAGTTGTCTTTTTGTTCACTTTTAACGCACCGCCTGATCTGTGTTCTGGATTAAAAGCACTCTGTGACACGCGGGACGTACATTCACAGGGCGGTAGTTGCACTCGGTGTTTAGAGTGTTAGAAGCAATTCTTTAATCAATCCTTCAATTGTCCTTTCTAACCTAAAATGAATGGATAATAATCTTTAAAATTACAGACTTTGTTAATATGCCAAAAACATTTATTTCTTTTCTGTATCATTCACTGTGAATCTTGCGGAGTAACTAACAGCAGTGCATGTACCGGAGTATCTCTTACAGATGCTATTTGTGAATTCGAGCTTTGTGCCATCAATTTTCTATTTAAAAGACTTAATTTTAAGTA